CGTTCCCCGCCACCCGACCCTCCCCGCCGGGGGCGGGCGGCGGCGGCCCCCGCAGCAGCAGCGCGGTGGGCGAGCTGCGTCCGGCGGGGGGTGCGACCCGCCCGGCGGCGGGAGCGACCCGTCCGGCGGGCTCTGACTGAAAGGAGGGCTCAGGTCCGAGGGGGAAAACGCCGTGGGCAAGGCGCGCTCTAAACCTCATTCCGTTGGGTTGTCTATTACTTCTTTAAAAACAGCCAGGTTTTCTTGATTCCTTCCGCAAATTTTAGTAGACGTTTGCTAGCCCGTGCTTCCTTTTACTGTATTTTATTGCGCTCAGGGAACTAACAACTTCGTTACCGCTCGCCAGGTGCAGGGAAGTGCGCCTGACGGCACACCTGCGGCACTACCATTTGCCTCTTTTCCCCTCAGCGGCTCCGTATCAGGCTAAACCCAAGAAAGTGAAAAACGGGGGCGGCACGCCTGTGAGGGCCGGGCCGGGGGCGGTTTGTAGGGCGGGCGGGGAGCGGGAGCCCGCGGGACACGGCGAAGGGGCTGCGGGCAGCGCCTGAGGGAGAGGGCGGGAGGGCGGTGACTGCCGTTGCGGGGCGGGGCGGGGGACGGGCGGCCCTGCCGGGCCGGTGGAGGCGGTGCCCGGCCCGGAAGTACCGGGGGAAGCTGCGCAGGCGGCGGTGGGGCCTGGATAAACAACAACGGCAGCGGCGCCGCCGCGGTGAGTGACGTGGGGTGCTGCCGGCACCGCGCACTTTCCGCCCTTTAGCCGCCGCTGGTGGGGTGCTGAAATAAAGCTGGTTAGCGGCGACCCGGCGGGTCCTGCGCCGCCCGGTGTCCCCGCTGGCCGGGGCTGGGCCGTTCGTGCCGCGCCGGGTGTCTGTCGCGAACGAGCGAAGCCGGCAGGGGAGGGCGGGTGAGCGGCCGGACACCGCGGGGCGGGGGGCGTGCGGCGGCGTGTGCTGCTCCTTTGTGAGGAGGCTAAGGAGGGGGTGGGAAGGCGGACTCGGTGACCCTCGGCCCTTGTCCGTTTGTCGGCGAGAAGCCCGTTCCCTTCCTGGCGGGGGGAGCCGGCGGGTGGTTAGGAGCTGGGGCCCGGCTCTGTCCCGCCGCCCCGCTCGGTGTGGGCGGGCTCCTGCGGTGACAGCCCGGGTGGTGACAGCCCTGGGTGGTGCCTCCGTTCCCCCCCGAGCTGTGAGAGGGCCGCCGTTGGTCAGCTCTGCCTCTTGGCAGGCGTCGGAATAGGCAGCGGTTTGGCTTATCTGGGGTGGCCTGTAGATGTTGCTGTTCCCCACACCGGGAGAGTGGGGCTGTAAGTTGAAAAACGGCCGAGCTGAATGAAACTACACGAACTTAAAGGTCTTCTTGAGAGACTTCAAACTAGCTGTAAACTTTGAAGGTCTTCCACCGGAGTCATACAGGGTGTTTATAAAGAGAATAAACCCCTGTGAATGCTGAAAGCTCTGAAGCTATGCGCTTCCACTGGGGGAGAAGTTTATCTGTTAACAGGAATCCTTGAATTTTGTTTATTCTTGGAGCTCCTGTAGTGTCACCAATGTTTTCTTTGACCCCTTTTCACTTCATAATCAAAGCCTGAGTTGCTTACTAGTTGCATGCTTGCCTGGGGGTGGAGTTAAGCAGTAAATGCCTTCACTAAGAATAAATTATAGTTGAAAATCTCATTAACAGTTCTGTCCATGCTGACAATCCAGAGCCTTGCTCAAGCACATGCCTTTCTTGTATTGTGGCTGTCGATGACTTTTACCAAGGCCTGTAGTGACAGGACAAGGGATAATGGCTTTAAACTAAAAGGGGATAGATTCAGTTTAGATGTTAGGAAGAAGTTCTTCCCTGGGGGGGTGATGAGGCACTGAACAGGTTGCCCAGAGAGGTTGTGGATGCCCCATCCCTGGAAGTGTTCAAGGCCAGGCTGGATGGGGCTTTGAGCAGCCTGGTCTAGTGGAAGGTGTCCCTGCACATGGCAGGGGGGTTGGAACTAGGTGATCTTTAAGGTCCCTTCCAACCCAAACTGTCTATGAATGAGTTTTCTTTGTGCTAGCTTGCTCAAAAATGATTTTCTTGTTCTTGCTTAGTAGCTGCTGTTGTGGTCCTGCTCCCCTCTGAGTAAATAAAACACAAATTGCTGAGCTTATTTTATATCTTTTTTTTCAGTAGAGAAAATCATGGAAGGAAGAACATCATCTTCAAGTCATGTCAGTGTAAGTGTTCCTGCAATTTGCAACAATTTACTTTGAGGCTGTGGGTATCCTAGGGTGGTCTGATGTATTTGTGCCACCAAATTCATTCTCCAGTGGTCCAGCTTTTGCTTTGTTGGAGAACTGTTTCCTGAGATACAGTTTACTCTGGTAGCAGTCAATAGTAATGTCTGCTGTTGAACATGTGTTAATACATGATAGGCTCAACGTTTGTTCGCACATAAACAGTGCATTTTCAAGGATATTTTAAGACCTAAGCTAACATCTAAAATATTAAGAGGAATGCTCAGGTAGAACAGATGCATAATATTTAGTTATCTGCAGAGATGTGTTTAGAGACTACTTATGCTAGTGTTTATTTTTTCTAAAATATCCCTATTAGTAGTAGTTACAGCAATGGAAGCACTGGTGAAAACAAATGGTAGGCACAGCAGCTGGTTTGATTGGGTAAGGTCTGGACTCTCTAGTGTTTTAGAAATAAGCTGCTTCCAGCACCTTGTTTATGCACTTTCTCTGATCCTTCCTTCTACAGGTGGGAACCTTCAGAAAAGTACTGCTGGTTTAGATGAGGAGTCTGCTAAGTGTGTACGCACATGTATGTGTTGAGTTAGTCACTTTCTGTTAGGGAAAAGCTGAGGCAACTGCATATGTTGCACTTCCCATAGATACAGACCTCTGTTGTTTACCTCTTGAATTTGTGCTTGTTCTGTAAGTTAATTGTGGGCACTGCAAACCAGCATCATCTTAATGAGTGCAAGCATTGGGAAGATGTTGTACGGTGAGGTGGAAATTTTGCTGATGAACGTATCTTGTCCTTTTTATCCCTTTCTGTCTGTCCATCTGTCTCTTTCTGTTTTCTGAGTCTGACCTTACCTGTTCTCAATGTTATCTGTTATGTTATTACAGAGGTTATCTGAACTTCTGTAACTTTAAATGCATGCTAAAATTTCAGACACATATGTGTTCTTAGGAAGCTCATAACAGAAACCAGTAGTCAGGCAGCAGGTGGAATTCTGAAGTAAGAAATTTGTACCTGGCCATTAAGGTGCGGATCAGAAGGATGCATTCTGACTGATAAAACAGGTTTATAGACCACTTCTCAAAAAAAAAAAAAAAAAAAAAAAAGAGATCTAATTGCAGGTGTTCTTGAATAAGAAAATGTTTATTTCAATCCTTAAATGTTGATTGAAAGGGAAAGGAGGTACTTGTATTAGAAGTTGTTTCCTATGTGTAACATTTACAGCCTTTATAATTTGAGGAATCTGTTATGAAAGGCATATTTGTTATTACAGCGTTTGACCAGCAAAGGCAGTTTGAGGTACTATATAGAAGTTCAGGTCTAACTACTAAAACAATAAATCTTTGTTTCAAAGAAGTGTAGAGAAGGAATAAGAGCACTCACAATTCAAACTGAAGAGTTGAAGGATTATCTCATTATGGTACAGTATGCTTCAGTTACGGTCTGTCTGAAGGTCTACCTACAGAACTAATGAATGCAGTTTCTGTGTTGTTAATGAAGTTGTTAGCATCACTGTTCTAGAGTCTTTGCTTGTAATCTTATGTTACAAGGTAGGGCATCTGGTGGCTTGCAAATTGAGTTCATAATACACTTGACAGTGGCCATTATGTGGAATAGCTTCAGCTCCTTCCTAGCTGAGATAGACTCAGTTGTCTGAAAGATGTAAATGTTGCATTCTCTCTCTGATACATTCTAATGTGGTTGTGTTTGCAGTGTAAGGTTTTGCTTCTCAGGATACCTGGTGAAATAGCAAGGCTTGCACTTTTATTCTTTCAGCTGATGTTATTTTAACTGGTTTAATCAAGTGATAGGAAATGTCACCCTCTTTCCTTGTCTTGATGAACTGGTAGGAATTTAGTTTGACCATTTTTGTTTTGAATTTCAATGAATGAACATTATTTCCTACATATCTTTTTCTGAATTGGCAAATTTCTACGAATTACGAACAGCTTTATCTTTCAGTAATTACTTTTGAAATGCTGATTCCATTTTTTTGAAGGTTGGCAATGACAATAGCTGATACCATATTGAGTACGTTATAGTGTACTGATGCTAAATTATCATACCAAAATACTTGTACTATTTGAAGTTATAATTGCTCTTCATACTGAATTTTTTTTTGAGAGCAGGCCTGCTGTGACATTCACCATGACATTCAGCTGTTTTGGTTTCTGTTTATCATTCTCTAAGCTGAGATGATTAAGCTAGAGTGTAAACAAATCAGAGGGAACTAAGAAAACTCTAAGTGCCAGTAGATTTGATTCTCACCTTCTGGGCATGTGTTTGAAGTTGTTGTAAAGTTAACGATATAGGAGGAGCTTTTTCTTGATTTTTTTTAAGACAGTTCATATGTTAAAACTAGCTCCTCATGTGGTATGAGGCATGATTTAGGATCAAGCATCAGTGAGGAATGCATTTAAATGGAAATCACAGGCCAGTGCTTCCCTTACAACTTTGTTATTTTACCTGACAATTAAGAAAGCTTTGTACTTGGCAGTATGCCAGCTCATAGCACCAGTGGATAATTTAGTTTTATCACGTGTGTAACATCATCTATTTTCAGTTTCGTATACCAAAGAAGAAAACAAACACCAAGTCAGAGGATGTCCAAGTTCAGTCCCCTTTGGCAAGGCTCCCAGGCTCCCACCATTGGGACTACCCTTTAAAAGAGGTAAAGAGAAGTTCTTTGGAGTCTAAAGTGTATAGGAGGATGTTATATGGGGTTTGGGTTCTGTTCTGGAGGCTGGATTTTTTCAATACCGGGTGCTGCTTTGTGACCAATATCTGACCCAGATTGTCTTGGAAAGAGAAGTGTGTAGGTCTGAACTCTGCCTGCAAAGTCTCAGTGCCTTATTGCCAGTCTACATAATTAAAAAGCAGAGTTGGTCTTCAGGTGTCATTTGAAATTATCTTGAAAATTGTGAATTTAAAGGCAAATATAATGTGGTGGGTTTTCTGTGTTGGGGTTTGTTTTTT